AAATCGGTGGACATCGGCGCCCGCGCCCGGCAGCTCCAGACCCGGCGGCTCTGGACCTACGCCCTTACATTCGGGTGTATGGCGGGGTTCGTGGTGATCGTCCTCAACAACTTCCAAGACCAGCTAGTCTTCTACGTGACCCCCACCGACGCCCTCGAAAAGCACGCCGCCAACCCCTCCAAGTCCCGCTTCCGGCTCGGCGGCCTCGTCCTCGAGGGCAGCGTCGTCTACCCCGCCTCCTCCCCGGAGGTCGAGTTCGTCGTCACCGATCTCATCACCGACATCCTCGTCCGCTACCAGGGCGCCCTCCCTGATCTCTTCCGCGAAGGCCACTCCGTCGTCGTCGAAGGCCTCGTCAAACCCTTCACCGACGACATCAAGGGAGGGGTTTCCGCCAAGAGCGTCTCCGAGAAGGCGCGGAGCATAGACTGTTACTTTTCCGCTACCGAGGTTCTCGCCAAGCACGACGAGAAGTACATGCCTAAGGAAATTGCTGCTGCTATTGAGAAGAATAAGAACATTGTCATCGAAGCTGCCACCGTGGCCGCCGCCGAGACACCCAAGACCACATAGAGGGGTATTAATCAATTTTGAATATTTTATATTGTTCGACTGTGTTACACTCATTTTTTGAGGGATGTTGATTATTTAACTATCGGCTGAGATTTTTTTAGAGGAATAATTAGGATTGAATTAATATGGGTAAAATAGAGGGAAGGGTGATACAAGAGGCAATTTCTTGTTGTTGTAATGCATTATTTTATAATGACTGTGTTACACTCATTATTTTGTGATGTTGATTATTTTGTTGTTGTTGTAATTTCTTGAATTAATTTCTTGATTATTTTGCTGAAGCTGACTTCAATTTTGCTGCTCTTAGGGTGTAACGCCACAGAATATGGAACTTTTATTTTTTAAGGTCCAGGTTGTTGCTGCCTTGCTGGAGCATATAACCTTCTTTTGGTAGAATGTTTACTATGATAAAAGAAAATAAGGGCGTCGAAAATTTTGATTATGATTGAATGGGGGCAACCTTAAAACTGTACATTTGGCTTTGAAGAGTTATGCTAAGGCTAAAAGGCAGTGTGTGCATCTGATACTGGCACTGATACTTCGACGTAGTTGCTCTATCAGTGTTGTATACTATCGTGTCATATGCTTTTCAAATACCTTGGGTACTTTTAACTACATCTTTCAATAATGTGTACTTACCAATACAGATAGGATGCTAGGATGATTAGATAATTGATGGCACTGTATTGTTTCAATAATGACTAATGCTAACTTATGAAACATTGACATCTTTATATTAATATTTTGCATTTATGTTTTTCTGTTAATATAATATCACTTTTATATGTGGTAACTTGGTGATGTCTTACGAATTTTAAAGTTACCGCATCCCCACGTTAGTGTCTGGTTCTGTTTCTGTATTTTTGCTTCCTAGGTATGGAAAAGCCAAACTGTGGCTAGAAGAAAACAGGAAAACAAATGATAAAAAAAACAGAAGCTTACCCCTGTGGCCACATTTCTGCTGGAGTCTTCATTTTTTTTCTTCAATTAATAGGATTATTAGCTTGTGATGTATGAGGAATTATTAGTTCCCAGCTCTGGCCACAAGTGCCAGACACTCAACAAACAAACAAACAAATGGACGAACTTGGATCCTGTCCGTGGTTATTTTTATTTCTTTGGACTTGTGTTAGATTTTTTTTTTTTTTTTTGTTTATATGGAATAGATTTCCTTATATGAGATTATAAGGATGGCAAGTTCTTTTTTACTATGGTTGGAAGGTAGAAGATATTCCAACGTCCTTCTTTTTCATTGTAGTTTCGGTTGCAATAATTATACTCATTAAGTAGATTTATGTTGTGAACACATGTTGAGTTGGAGTGATTTATTTTGTTACAATTGGGAACATGACATTTGAGCATACTATTATAACATTTGAAAATTTCAGCCAGATGTTATTTTTTATCGGAACTAGCCTCAAAAGACGATGACACATTTCTAGTTCTTAGCAAAATTGAATTGTTAGTCCGTTGCTTAAAATTCCAAGTATCTTCCCCTCTCCCCCCCCCGGAAAAAAAAGTGTATCTACTCTCTGTCTTCCCTCTTTCCTCCTTTACAGACTGACAAGAAACGGTTTATGAAGTCACTCAATGCTCTGATATATCTTCGGTGTCTTAATTATTGATTAACATTATTTATACCCTTTTCTTTTCTCTTCTGAATATTTATTCGATTCATTACACTCTGTCACTTTTGTAACACCACCATGCAATGTAAGAGCAAAAGGTAAGTAATATTTGAAGATATAAAACCAAAACTCCAACGGTATATTTATCTCATTTTCTTAGTAGAGGAGCTCAAGTAATAAATCACACCCTAACCAACAATTAGGGAAAAAGAATACCACAATAAAACAAAAGCACTCACATTTAGAATGGAGGAAATAGAGAACAGAATGTGGGAAAATAAATAAATTGAATACAGTAGACAAGCCTCCCTCATTGCAGTATAAAAAATTAATGGCATAAAAGGGCAAGGAGAGAAAGGAACAATGAGGAGCAAACAAGAGCACCGGAATACGTCACCAAAAATCCAGCTCCAGCATCCATTGTAGGTGCTGGTGCTGGTGCTTCACTGCTCTGCGCTTTTACCCCAGCAGCAAACAGAAGCCCCACAAAGAAGGCCATAAAGAAGAACAATGCTCTGCTCTTGCTAATGCATGCCATTTTTCTCAGATGCAAGGACAGAGATGATTCTTAGATAGGTTGAGCTTAGAGAGATGGTGGAAGGGTGAGTGTATATTGCTTTGCTATCTTGTGTTGTTTAGAGTGAAACAATACTAGCCAATTTATAGGCTCCACTTGATAAATGAATTAATATTTTAAGTTGATCAATAAACACATAAATTTGAGTTTAGACGGCAACGTCTATGTGCTTTGAATCATGTGATAGTTGGTGTAGACAGGTCATGCATGTTGTGGTCCCTTCATGCAGCGGCCTTCAAACGGCTATGCTTTATGTTTGGTGAAAAATAAAAATCAAACGGCTATGATGCAAAGATCCAGCTGTGTACCCTTCCATAGTTTGTTTGCGATTTCAAATTATGAAAAAGGCCCAAAGGCAAGGCATGGCCAGGTAGGCCAAGGTTTTAAAACTTAACAAGGTGATTTTATACGAATATTTATTTATCTTCAATAACTACAACTCGTCAAATAATAAAAATAAAAAAGAACTTGCAAAACTCTATATGAGATTTAGCTTTTCGTTTTAATTTGACTTTTGACTGTAAAACAAAAGAGAAAGGGAAAAGAATAAAGACAAGTGATTGGGAATTTTCACAAATTCTGATATGTTTTGGTGAAAATTTAAGTGTAACTTCGATATTGTCCATACTTTGGGAAAATGCGTAAAAATTCTAGGAAAAATAAATTAGTAGTATTAATATTAATATAGGTATACTCAAATAGAAATACCACTGAAAGCAAGTTTTTAGATTCAAATTCAAATTCAAATATTTTTGTTATTATTATATATTAGTGAATTAGAGACACTTTGTAACTTTATTTATTTTTTATCAAATAAAATAGGAAGTTTGAAAATAATTGTTTTTTTCTAGAAGATAAATGTCTTGAGATGAGAAGAAAGAGAAAAGGAAATAATTATGCGCGAATAATGAAAAATTTCCATTTGTAATATAAATGTAATATGTAAATATTTATAAAAAAAAATAAAATTAAAACATGAAAACAAAAGCTTATAGGTTATAAATGACTTTTTTTTTAATTTTGAAGGACAAAATTACTCCATTAGAAATTGGAGATTAAAAACAGTTGAAAAAGAAAGTATTTCTCTTTTTTGTTGTTATAGATTATAGATATAATATAAATATTATATATATATATATATATTATCATGGAATGTGTGATTATAATTGAAGATTAATTTTGTCACCAATTCTCCAGCATAAAATTGTAAATCCAATTAAATATACATATAGTCTTCCGACTAAAAGCAGAAATCATGATGGTAGAAGAAATATGGGAATTTTCTCTCTTTTTGTTTAGCTTATTTCCTGCTGGCTCAGATAAATTAAATATTTTAGGTAAGATACTCTTTTTTTAATATGATATCAACATATCAAAATAATTACTTTTTGATACATAATATAGTAGTGTTATATTTTTATTTCTATTTTATTTAGAAAAATAATGTAACAATTCTTTTTATTCACAATATTAGGTGTTGTTTGTTTTCTAGCTAAAAAAACAATACTTGTCCTGACCAAAAGCTGTAGTTCTTTAAGTTAATTCATTCATATGTTGCAATCATATTCAATTATTTGAAATAAATTTCAGAAAACAGAATCTACAAAACTTAAAATTAAATGAATATGCAGGATCATTGATTGGGCCAATCAACATTGTAAAACAGCTTGAAACATGCTGGAAATGAATGTGCACACCTTTCCCAATCTAAAGCCATATTCGTCATATATATTTAATTCTATAAACAGTCTTTATATGTTAGCTAGTCATTTAGCCTCCACAGAACATCGTCTTGGTTGAGATTATATCAGCCAAAATTCTCATCCACAACACCACCAAAGCCAAGTTCCGGCTATAACTACAAATGCATAGCATATTATATATATATATATATAGAAAATGAGAGAATATTTCATGTCATTATGTCAAGTGCAACAATCTCCACTGTTGATTCCTGGGTTGGAGCTTCATTTTTTCCCTTCTTGGCCTTTTTCTTGCAGAGTTGAAGATCAATGAAGAAGACGGAGATTCTAATAATATATTATTGCGTATTCCTTTCATTTTATATATATATATATATATATATATATA